TTTTTTTTTTTTTTTTTTTTTTTTTTTTTTTTTTTTTTTCATTTATAGTTGGTGTTTGAGACTGTGTGGCTCTTAAGTGGTGGCTGGGTCTCTAGCCAGTATCCTTTCTGAGCATTAAAACTTTTATGCATAATCTTCATTTTTAGGTCCACAAATTAAAGCAAAAAACTCAGAAATTGAAGAGACAGTCAGCTCATGTCCTACCAAAATCTGATGACCTAAAAGGAACAAGAGAGATTCCAGTTACTCCAAGCGGAAGTGCATCAAAAAACTGCCCTGTGCAGAAAAGCAAAAGCTCTCTTCAGCTGTTAAAAAATGTGCAGAAACTTCAATCAACACTGAAAAAAGATGATATCATGTGGGAACAATAGTTTTACATTTTATCATATAGGTAGTGCCTCTTACTGATATGCCAAAAAAAAAAAATTTGTCTGACACTTCGTAGGTTTGGATTTAACAAATATTAGACTGAATTAAAAGTTTAATATTTTATTTTATGCTATGTCTAAATATTTGCTAGCCTAATAGTAAATTTCAGTTGAAACTTAAGTTTGGGTTGAACAAACTCACTTTCCCTGTAGCTAAACGTATTTGTAATAAAATCTGTTTTAACTGTTCCATGAGGTGTCCCAATTTCTTTTAACTTGCAAAATAAAACTATCTTTGAAATATATAAGAAAGGCAATCTGTTTCTTTTACCCACTTTCCTCCTCATCGACATAAATGTACACACTTTGAAATAATTATTTCAGTAGAGGAGGAAGGGAAAACTCAATGTAGGGCAAAAACTCAGGACTATCACATTTCCTCCATGCTCAAAGGAGATACTTGAAGCCTGCTTCTGTAGCCCTAACAGGGCCAAAATTCCCAGTGGAGTCAGTGGGAGTCTTCCTTTTGTGAGGACTGAATATTTGGGTTCTGACGATTAATGCAGACAAGTACAATGTCTGTTGTGAATGTGCACTTGCTAATTTTTTTTAATGTAAAATTATCTAGGACATAAACTTTAGTGCCTGCATTCATGGACTGATGTTGAAGATTGCTTGTTTTGCAGAGGGAGTTTGGCAATAAGGCACTTGCAATGATAGAGCAAGAAGGTCTTCTTTCTACAAAGTACTTTTTTTGAAAGTGTAATGGCTTGTATTATACACACTTGCCAATCAGAGGGCTCAAATGGCCCATATTGGTTCAAATATGGTGTGGGTTCTTTTTATTAAAGAAAAAAAAGTTCCCCACATCTGACTCTTTAATGCTAATAAGGCACAATTTATACTGCTGTAACAGCCATGTTTTTAAAATTAATATTGCTAAACTCATTTTGGCTGGATATGTGGAAGGGACCAATCCTTAAAAACCTAAGTAGATGTCTAGCCTAGAACTCTTTGTCAACAGAGCCTGTCTAAATCATGTAATAAGCCAGTGTAGTGGAAACATGTATAACAATGGCTGAAGCCATTGTGCGTACTGGGTCTAGAACCCCATGCCTGTACTCAAATATGTAAAAAATGACCCAATCCACTACAGCTATGGTGTTTTCAGACTTTCAGCTGCTTGCTGCTGCTGTTAGTACAACAGAGCTACACTCTACTTCTAATATTTAGTACTTAGGGTGTGATCTGTAAAGCAACTTAATGGCCTAAGTTTCCATACATAACACCACTGTGCTTAACAAAACTCCCACTCAGCTGCTGCTTGTTGGTAGGTGCCTAAACTCACTTGGTGCCTACATTTCCATTGTAAAAGTTCCTAGGAACCTAAATTTTAGCCCCTGGAGCATGTACTGTATTAAGCAGCTGGGTGCCTATGCTTGCCTAACCCCAACTGTGATTTGTGAATCAGGGAAGGTAGGCAAAAGAATACCTCTCTCTCATTTTGGGCCTGATCCAGTAGGTGTGCTCAGAGACCAGCTAGTATCTGGCTTTTACTAGTCCATGCAGCCCAGGGGGCAGAACGTGAGCATGAGCAAGATTTTGAGCATGACAGAATTGTGGGGGGGGAGGGGAGAGAGAAGCAAGATCTGTTGGTGAGACAGCAGTCAGGTAGTGCAAGGTGTAGGTGGACAGGGTATTGGGTTAACACATCAGAGGGTAGCTAATGGGTTCTCTAGTGGGGCACAAATTAGAGACCACTTAGGGTAGGGAAGGGGAACCACAGATAACCAAGGCAAGGAAGGGGGGAGAGGGCTGGGAAAAGGCTACGGAGCAAGAACGGAGATGTAGGGGGCAGCTGAGCTGCTACTAGGCAGGGAAGTGGGAGGCCAGGGAGCAAGGTCCAGCATGATAAACAACAGTATTTCCATGTTGCAGCACCAGTTATGGCAGCAAGAGGAGGAAGAACAGGGGCAGAGGCAGTCCAACCCAAGCACCAGTCTCAGGCCAAGGCTGAGCCCTAGGCTGAGGCTATACACCGCAGCCATCCCGGTGAACGTGCCAATCCCACCACAGTTTCATGGGGATCTCTCAATGGACCTGCATCCAGTACTATGCGCTGGGCCCAGACGCTCTCCAACACCTTTTGTGACGCTCTTCATGAGAACTTCACCACAACTGTACAAAGGAGTCAGCCACTATCTGTCGCCACTGGGTCAGCACCACCCTGGGGATACAGGCATCAGGATCTTTTCAGCAGATTGCTGCACAGACTATTGACATCAGCAAGTCTACGGCCCCCAGGGTCCTAGACCGGTTCCTGGAGGCCATAATCAGTTGTTCACAAATACATCGATTTACTGAGCCAACCGGAAGGAAAACAGGTAGAGTTCCATGAGACTGCCACCTTCCCATGGACTACTTCCTAGGAGTAGTCAACAGTACCTGCGAGACCACTGCCATTAGTATGTGACAACTCATCTTGGCCTCCCCTCTTCCCATCCCATTGTCTACTCTGCCCATCTCCCTGAGTGTGAGATATCACATGTCCCTCCATTATTATAGAAGGGGGAATTTTAAACTCACCATACAGGGTATTTACATCCTGTTTGTGCAGAAACCTGGTGGCAGCTGAGCTTTGTGCATGCTGTCCAGTGGGAAGTGTAATGGGCAAGTGAAGTGGTAGGTTTTGAGAGGTCCAGGGGTGTCTCATGAGTATATCCTTCCAACACATTTCTTAAGATAATGTACATCTCAGAAAATTCTTTTGGGTCTTGTGCTGTCAACATGAGGTGCTTGTTAGTGTTTCAGTGGAGCTATAGATTGGCATGAGCACCTGTCTGTGGGGGTTGGGAGTCGCCATGCTGCCTCCCCTGGCTGACCTAAGCAACTCCCCTCTGCTTGGTGGAACACAATGTTTTTCCTTTTTTCTAGATAGATTTGAACAGGGGTCTCCCACCCACCCAGTGGATGCTCTATCTGATGGGCCACAGACTGTCTGCACTCTGGCCCAATGATTCTTTTATACTTTGTGTGCATAGGACCAGTTATTGGGCTAGAACAGGTGAGCATGCTGCTGTAGCACAGTTGTTAGGGCACCTACCTAAGAAGTGGGAGACCTTGGGTCTGGTCCCCCTACTGGAATGATTCTTTCTTAATCTTTCATTATTTATCCACTAGTGGAACAGCTTCAACAGGAGAGATTGTGGAGAGAGGCAGGTGCTGAATTCATTCCTGCACGAAGTGCCTAAGATTCCTGACTCCACGCAGCTCCTTTCTGTTCATGGATCACAAGCGGAGATGGGCGCCTCCCTAATGCCTGGTCTTAGGCATTTATCTCTGAGGAAGGGATAAGGCTTATGATACACTCTTTTGGTCCCATTGGCTGGCTTAGGTGACTGCCTCCCTAGTTGCTTGGCTCGGTCAATTGCATTTTTAGGTGCCTATCTCTCCCCATTCTCTATATAAAGGGTCTTGGGTGCCTAATTCAACATGGTGGATCACAGTGTTGTTCCTGTGACTTTTCTAGGCACCTAAAAGTTAGGCACAATAATGCTGTGTGCTGCAATGCCTAGGTCCCCATGTGTACTCCAGGGTTACTTCTTCTTTCCCCTCATGTAAATATGGCAGAATGAACAAGCTAATTATTCAAACTTGATATTATAATCACCTTGATGCAATAAATCCTTGATTTAGTGCTATCTGTTTCTGCACCCTGTTTTCCCTCCAAGGAGTACGTAGGGAGAGATGGTAATGCTAAGAAAAAGAAGAGGATAAATCAGTGGTTTAGTGTTACAAGGGTTTTAGCCCACGAAAGCTTATGCCCAAATAAATGTATTAATCTCTAAGGTGCCACAAAAACAGAAGTAGCTGAAGGAAGGAACTGGTAAAGATAGACCCTTAATTCTCAACTTGAGAAGCTTCCAAGGAAATAGTGCCTTTGTAACAGCATAAATAAACCTGCTATTAAGAACAACCTAACAACAACACAATCACATGAATAGCGTAGCTGAAGTCGAAGTATCTTAGATCGAATTACCTGGGGTCCACACAGCGCGGGATTGACGGCCGCGGCTCCCCCGTCGACTGTGCTACCACCGCTCGCTCTGGTGGAGTTCCGGAGTCGACGGTGAGCGTGTTCAGGGATCGATATATCGTGTCTTAACAAGACGCGATATATCGATCCCGGATAAATCGATTGCTACCCGATGATACGGCAGGTAGTGAAGACGTACCCAAAGGCATATTAGCCACACCTGCTGGAAGCTTCAGCAGCTTCATGGTAGGAAAGGAGTAGAAGCTGCTGTAAAGATGGCTTCCTTTTCTACTCCCGGATGGGTAGAGTGTACAGAATTTTTTTTTTTTTTCTGGGAATTACTGTCTACACCCAACCTGCTGGCTATGAGCATTGATGCTATCTAGAGTGTAGCAAGGGGAAGGGTTTGTCCAATTACAGCTCAAAATTCTAGTGGGGTTCTGCAACTCAAGTTAATTAAGGGTATTTTTAAAAGTGTACATATACCAGAAATAAAACAATGTTGTGGCAGTTCAGTGAAGTTCCGCTACTGATCTCCGGTATGAAGAGAGCTGGGTGGTCCCCACAAATCTTTTTGCAGATAGGGCCTTGCAAAAAGTAGAGCTAAGCTCTGTTTCCAGGGATTTGCAGTTGGTGTTGTCAGAAGTGGGTCTTTAATCAAAAGTTGACAGCACTGCACTGTTGTGGAATAAAGTTAATAAGCATTTTTGGACTAATGGGTTGTGCTCAGTGGCCTCTCAATGGTGAAGGAAGACTGCATATATTTTGTGGTGTATGTGCTGTATTATCTATCTACAGATTTACTACAAAGTATTGGATGAAGAAAGGAAACATATTTCTATACATTGAAGTCAGCATTGCTAGAGGTAGAAGCAGTATTCTGCAGTTGCAAAGAGCCCGCTCTGATTTTAGGTTCATATTTCACCTTAGGAGCCCCTCTTATCTTGTGATCTTAAGCAGGGCCGTCTCCAGGCACCAGCCGACCAAGCACGTGCTTGGGGCGGCACCTGGTAAGGGGCGGCCAATCTTGGGGTGGTGGGGGGGGGCGCTCAGGGTTTTTTGGGGGGGGGTCGGCCGGGGGGCGCTGGGGGGGGGGGGGGGTGGTTTTGGTTTGGCGGCTGGGCGCGTGGGGGGTGTTGGGGTTCGCAGTGGTGCTGGGGGGTGTGTGCCGTCGCG